TATATATATATATATATATATATATATATATATATATATATATATATATATATATATATATATATATATATATATATATATATATATATAGAGAGAGAGAGAGAGAGAGAGAGAGAGAGAGAGAGAGAGAGAGAGGGGGGGGGGGACAAACCCATATTGCCTATGGATCAAGTTTCTTAAGAACCTGATGACAAATTAAGAAGATGAATCCGTATGCATTAATACACAGATTGTTGTCGCAAAAGTATGGGCGGAAGACGTAGAAAAGTTGCTTATCGGTAGATGTCTGCTTAAGACTGGACGCGGATACAGTTAGCCGGGCTTTCCACTAGCGTGTACAGGATAAGAGCAATTTCACTGTATCCTGTGTCACTTCTACACTTGAAACTTTACACTTAGGCAGGAGACTGTCAGTTTTAACTTTCACATTGCATGTTCCGTCCTTGTCGTATTTCCTTTTTTTTTTTTTTTTTTTTTGCGCGTTGTTTAGTGTCTTCTTATAATTTGCCTCGCATACAGCGGTGCCGCCACAAACACGTCATTTGGGGGATAATTGGAAAAGGGGGAGGGAGGGGGTGCGCAGTCTGCTTAGAATTGTCTGGGGTGGAGCCCTAATGAGCTTGATTATTTAAGTGAAAGTAAAAAGTAAAGGATCCTTGTCCACACCTTCATGCGTATTGGGCGTATAGGACTACACCTATATTTTCTATCCATGAGTCGGCACTTAGTGGATGATGAGGTCAGCATCACACCAGCCGCCTTTACTTCCCAGGACTGCATGACGTACCCACCCAAGGCTGGATCGACCTGGGAGCCAACATCATTTTTTATAATCAAAAAGTCCGGCTTTCCGATCCACAGGCAAGCGTTTAACCGCTACCCCATGGCGACTCTCCAGGATTGTTTACTTGTACACTTATTATTATTATTATTATTGTTTTTATTATTATTATTATTATTATTATTATTATTATTATGTTGCGTTGTGTGGCAAATAAATGGGAAATTATGTTACATTTATAAACATAAAATTAAATACATAACATAACCCTTGACCCCTAAGGGTCCTTGCGGTGTATTGATGGAAGCACGAGCACATAAAACCCTCCATCTTTCTCTCTCTTTTGCTTGAGGAATAAGTGTATGATAACTTAGTCCTGTCCATTTCTTGATGTTGTCATTCTTCTTCGGCCTCGTCTTTTTCAACTACCCTCCCGCCCACGCCCCAACCCCCACCCCCGCCCCCTGTTCCTTGAAGTACAGTCTTTGCAAAAGAATCATCTCTCACCATGTGCCCAAACCAAGCTAGCTTGCGACGTTTTCCCACAGCCAAGAGAGGCTCCTGATATCCTGCAAATTTGTAAATTTCATATATTTATTAGTTTTGTGTTCTAAATAACTAATTCGTAAAATGCGTCTTTACATTTGCATTTGAAAGCCCGAATCCTCCTTTCCATTTCTTCAGTGAGAGTCCAACTCTCACCCGTATAATAAAATAGACAACACCTGTGAAAATTGACCTTAACTGTGATACTTATTTTGCCCTTCCAAATCGTATTCAGCTGCGACATTGCGGCTGTTGCCATGTCAAGTCCTGTCTTGATCTTTGTGGTACAGCTGCCATTGTTGCATGTGTGGAAGCCAAGGTATTGAAAGGTTTCAACTCCTAGTTTGTCCCCCCTTCTATCTTTATGTTGTTAGATATGTTATTGCGACTATTTACCAGTAATTAAATAGAGAACGTCTATTTATGACTAAGCGGAAGGGGAGAGAAGGGAGCAATTAAACCCCTCAAAGATATTTTAGTGGGGGGTAAGGTGGTCGTTCAGCACCCCACACCATCGAACGTTTATTGAGTGGATGTGGTCTGAGGTTGCATGATACCCTGGTTCCTGGCGCCCTTGCTTGCATATTGTGTGGTTTGTCCCATGCTCTTGTGTTGTTAACAATGGATGAAGATAGTTTGTCTTCTCTTAGCATGTGCGTATATGGTTTGTCTACTCGTATCCTGTACTGCGTCTTGTGCTTTTTATCCACTTCACTTGTCTGGTCTTCTTAACATATTATTTCTTGACTTTTCTTACAAGCACTTATTGTCTTTTATTGTTTTTAAATCATTATTTCATGTCCTACATCCCCACGCCCCCCTCCCCCCCCCCCCCATATATTTTGGGGTGTGACTAGCTTTTTCTTGTCAGTTCTTATTACATAGTTGGTAGATACCGCTTGTATTTTGTTATAATTTGAAGACATTCTGATGCATTTCGTTATTGTTGCTTAAATAATTGTTTCTTAGTATTAGAAATGTTTATTTTTTTTTTAAATCTAAGACACACACATAGACGCACACGAATCTTGCCCAGCGTACCGCCAAGGAGAAAACATTGAGGATGGGACTGGGGTAGGGGGGGGGGGTCGCACGCTTTGCTCAAGTTAAAATGTGCAATAATATTATTAAAAGCAGTTATTATTATTATCATCATCATCATTAGGTAGTCAGAGAAGGATTGAATGCGTTGGGAACCCTGCCCCTAATTCTAAAAAGACAGGGGGTGGGGGTGCACACTGGCCTTAAACTTTCTTTAATTATGCAATAATTATATGAATAGTAATTACTATTACTATTATTGTATGCCAAATGTTAAAATATACACATAAACGTGTTTGTGTATGTGTGGTTGTGTAAAATAACGGGACATGTATAAGGATATGGGAGCGGCCGTGGTGTATCGGCTAGATGCTCGCCTGCTCTCAGCTCGACCAAGCCTTTATTGGGTACCAGCTACAAGTCCTCTGAAGTAAAGGCGGCCGGCGTGATGTTGACTACATCACCTACCGAGTGCCGATTGTTCTATAAAATCTAGGTCTTACCCTATATGCCCAATACACCTGAAGATTTGAAAAATTAATTTTTTTTTTTTTTAACTGTCACTGATCTTCTCTCTTACCTTTTGGTGTTTCTTGCAGTTCTGCCCTTGTCCCTCGATCCTAGTTCTTATCTTTCAGGAGTGTATGTAATCATCATGTACACATCCTTTTAGATCTCCCTCTATTTCATTTGCATTCTGAGTTCCTCAGAAACACAGTCTAGCTATTCTTTTATCAGACTTTACAGTGTGTATGTTGTCATTACTTCTTGGCTTCATATAATTTTTTAAATTTTATCCAGAAGCTGTAATACGTATTAATGATTCTCACATATCTTTCAGTTCCTCAAATTCCGCACAGCCACCAGTTGAAGAATTTTTCTAATTCATTAGTAATTGCTTTTGTCGATCTTAGTTTTTCTGACCCATGCTATAGCATTTACTTGAGGTTAAACATTAAATATTTATTGTTTCTGTATTAATTTTAATTTCATTTGAGTCCCATGCGTTTTCTAACTCTTTGAAACCTCACTTGTCTTTAGTATGCACATTTGTTTATCCATGTGTTATGTTATGTTATCATAATCGACGTCTTTGCGCATTGGACATCCCCATGCGTGCTCAGTCCTCTGACGCATCAGCCACTTTAAGATACCTCTACCTCTACTTTTTGTTCCCATGAGGAGTTGTGTTATATTATCTCCTGTCTTTACCGCTAAGACGGCAATGTCGTGCTTCACCAAGCATAACTTCTCGGTCATGAAGCCGTGTTAGCGTCAGAGATTCGCCATTATCTCCCGACCTAATCCATACGGCGTTGATGATATCAGCTCTGTCCATGCTTTTTCCCATTTGCACTGGTGCATAACTTGCCAGCTAGTCAGCTCTTTCATTACATTTACTCCTGCGTGCCCAGGTGTGTAGATCCTGACGATGGAGGTTAACTGCGACTTCCAAATACTTTCTAACCATTCGGAGTGGAAACTACCTGTAGCGATTTTCTGAAGCATGTTCATAGAGTCTGAAACAATTACCGCATGTGCGGCTGCTTGTTCTGCTACCCACGCGAGTGCTCTGGTAGCAGCAGCTATATCCATGGTTATGCTTGACGTAGTCGTCTGGTAAGCGCCGCTATCCTCTTTTATTGTTTTTCCCATCCTTTGTGCTGTGTATGCCCATGCTGATCTTATCCCGCATTTCACTGACCCATCTGTGTAAATGACGACGTCTTCTGTGCGTGAGTACTGATCAATCAGTGCTCTAAATCTCGGCGTCAATGATGGCAGGTATCTGATTTCTGCAGTGCCGCACCAGTGTTATGACAAGCTTAGACAAGTCATGTTGCCCGAGCTCCGTCTACAGTTCTACCTATACAGATTTTTGACTAATTTCACTTCCAGTAGTGGATTTTACTAATGGGAAATCAGGTTATAATTTTCTTGATCTCCAAAGTGTGGGTTCTAGGGTCCAGGCTTGTTGGGTGTGGGGGTGGGGGGAATAACTGCAGCTTTACAAATATTCCGTTAAGGCGACTAATTAGGGGCACGATAAAAGCTCATACCTTTGGCAGAAAGGCGCTTACCTGTAAACCAAAAGACAACCTGCTAGCCGTCTTTTTAGTCATCATCTTCATCATTATCAAGTGTCTTGCTAACTGGCACGGGCGATCAAGCCTTCACAACCTGAGATCCTCAACCGCGTGTATCAGTTTGTGTGTTGACATCCGTCAACGAAATGACAAAAGACTGTTAATTATCTTCTCGCGCTATATATTCCTTTGAGTCTCTCTCCGCAGATTTTTCCAGTGGTCACAACATTGTTCACTTTCCATCTTCTCATAACATGACCAAAAAATGATGACTGTCTCTGATCTTTGTGATAAGTTTTCTTCGAGCTGTCGCCCCTTTCAAAACATCTGGATCACTCTTCTTAGCTGTCCAAGGAATTCTAAGGATTCTTCTATAAAACCATTCTCTGAAGCCTCAAGATAATGTTATTATAACCGCAAAAAAAAAAAAAAAGATTTATCTAATGTAATAGCAGCATGTTTCTTTGTATCACGTACATTTTGTAAAAGATCTAAGGTTCTGACATCTCAGTCGTTGTTTTAGTTGTTCTCATATTTTTTCGCAGGTTATTTCATATCTCAAAAGAACCTGTACACGCATGGGTCTAACTCGGAAGCCTACAGAATCTTCCCGCGGACAGACAGCTGTATCCAGCGTCAACTTCATCCACCAAGGTCCAGACAGCCACGAGAGCGAGAACGGCACCCTGATGTTTGAGAGTCCTCGACCGAGTCCAAGCTCCGGAAAGAAGACGTACAACACGATTCAGTCAAGTGAACGTACATACCAATACATCCCACTGACTCAGAGACAGGTTACTTCTTCTCCAGCAAGTAATTCAACATAAGAATCATTTCACTGATTGGTTCGATCTGTATTAAAGAGCGGTTATCTTTCACGATCACCACAATGTTCAGCATGGTAGTGCAAGGAAAGTGACGTCCCTTTAATTGCTACCCTGCAGTTATTGGCACTTGTTTAACCTATAAATAACTACATGCGCTGTCTCTGTAAGGTCCATAACAATACAAGAAGTGATAAGGCTACGAATACCGGTATTAGCGAGATAGTTATAATAAGTGTATCAATTATATTCACAGGCTAAGAATAAAATGGTTAGGCTATCTTGTGAGCATACGGCAAAATTAACTGCCGTATGAGATTTTTTTTTTTTTTTAAGCAGAACATCTGGGAGGAAGGCGACGAGAAGACCAATAAAGATATTAATGCATGGTAAAGGGGAAACATGTAAAGAGATGAACTAATGCACCATCAAAGCCAGCTCTGAAGCCCAATATAAATACAGAAAACCTCGACACTGGGCTACAACCTGCTATCAATGAGACGACAAAAGATGAAGTTCAACCTATTAAGGCTCTTTGCTGGCTATTTCAAAACATCTAAGTGGAATTAAGTTTATGATCCATACTGATGGGTTAATTATTGTGGACATTGATCTCTAACATAGCTTACAGAGATTTGATCTACTTTGGGTTAAAATAACTATTCTGCACAAACACAACATCCAATTGACACAGAACTCGACAATTAGTCGATTAGATTTGACAATGTTGACATCATACCATCGAGGGTCATGTCTCTGATTCATAATTACCACGTCTTCTTTAATCCTAGCCCAACTGTGGCTAACATTCAGGTTGCGCCCCAAAGGAGAGGTTTATGGTAAACGGTTAAATACAAAATAAAAATAATTAAACAACTATTTATATAACTGCTGTCTGTATTTACCACTAGTTCGGGCGATGTACACAGGAAGTTCGTGAGCCTCTTGAGTGAGGGTCGCTTGGTTAGTTCTGTCGCCACAGACTGTGCAGGTTAGAATGTTTAATTTTGCTCCTGACTGAAAAACTACATCACTTAACCGGGGTCGAATTCGGGTCTCCAGCACGAGAGATAGAGGCTAATTATTTCAAATTTATAAAATGCAGGATACCGAACAAAGTAAACACTATAAAGTAGTCCTTGGGTAGTTCACACAGCTTCTATATGATGAGGCGAAGGATCATAATATTATGGTAGTATTTTGAAAGCAGGACTGTTTCAAGGTAACGCATTTAGTGGCAAAAATGCACTAAGGGTAAAAGTAAGCAACTGGTAGCATCATAGCAATGGAAATTTCTTTGCGTTCTAAGTAACTAATCAAGATAGGAGAAATAGTAGTTTTAGTGAGAATAACGAGGACAAAATTTTACTAAATATGGTTTTCTGATAATGAAAGATATGCACAGAGTGTGAGGACGATATTGACCCCAACTGATGTTAACCTACATTTAAGTGTTAAAATGTGCTTGATTTGTTATGTATATCATCATCGTCATCAATTGTCATGTGCCATACAAAAGTAAACAAGTACAGATCTTTTTTTACGTCTTAGACGCATCGGGCATATGGGAAGAGCACCCATATTTTTACAGACCAATCGGCTCTAGGTGGTGGTCAGCATTACGCAAGCCGTATTTACTTTCCCAAGACATACATCCTGGTACCCACTTTAGGCTAGGTCGATCTGCGACGCCCTGTACCATGATAAAAATCCAAGCAGCCAGCAGTGGGTTTCGATCGCAGTAAGTTGAAATTATGCGCCATTTGGATATGTAATAAAAAAGATGAAAAGTCGTAAATAGATTATGAAATATGAAATGGAAATCATCAGAGGCGTTTGATAATTTAAATTGATAACATTCTTCTTTGGGGCACATTGGAAGAATGTCAGATGACAGAGAAGTAAAAACTCTATACACGAGGTAGATGAATGGTCGTAGACCACGAGGCAGACCAAGAAGACGATGAAGAGATAACATCCAGACTGACCTGCAAACATTTGTTGTTACCAACTGGAAAAAGAAGGCAAACCAGAGAGATTAATAGAGGCGGGTGATATCTGCAGCAACGAACCTCAGGAGCTCGGAATGCTGAAGAAGAAGAAGAGTATTCTTCTTTGCCACTCTGCCAGTTCGAATCTTCATTTCCCTCTCTTTTACACAAATGTTTCCACTTTCATAACGACACCAGGTGAGTCCCTCCGTTAAAAACAATAGGGACCATGTGCATTTGATAACAAATAATCGGACAAAAAAATATATTATTTGTGGGTGCTGACCACATTACCCACAGAGTGCTGATGGTCTGTAAAAATATGGGACGCTCTGCCCATATGCCCGATGCGCCGAAAAGCGTGAAAAGAGAACTTTACTTTTTTTTTACTTATGCTCAATTGGGGAGTCGCAGTGGATCGGAAGGCCTTGGCTTCGGGTCCTATCGGAGCCATGTTGGCCCAGCCTTAAGTGGGTGCCACGTGCAGTCCTGGGAAGTAAAGGCAGCCTTTGTTCGGTTGACGACATCACCCACCAAGTGCCAATTGGTCTATAAAATATAGTTCTAGTCCTATATACCCAATATGCCCGAAGGCTTAGAAAGGGGACCTTTACTCTAGTTGCTAAATTGGGAGATAAATAGCAGAAGTGAAAAAAAATTAGGAAGAGCAGGAGGAGAAGAAGAAGACGACCATTATAGTTATTGAAACGCTGTATCGCTATTTACACATCTTGTTTTGCTTATATTGCCTAGTCTGTGAGGATTTCCATTTCCTATTTCATCATCTATTTTCGACTTGTCATCTGTTCTATTTCATTTTACTCATATACTTACTGGAACATTTTTGAAACCAGTGACCTGTGAGGTCTGTATGTTAACAGAAGTGTATGTTTTATTTTTGTTAGCTGTTTGTCAGCGCATTTATTAATGTCTGTATAGGTAAACTGTCGTCGTTATAGTTTATGTGATATTGCTAATAAAAACTGTTTTTATTGTGTAGTTTTGTGAAACTGTCTATGATTGTCGATGACTATTCACTTGTGGTGGAGGAGAATTATAATATATTTCAACAGCAATTACGCGACAGACAGTTGTTGCTGATATAAAACAAACGGTGTAATACACTTGTCTTTCCTGACAATAAATCAAGTAATGAATCAATAAAATTTACGCAGTAAAATAAACTGCTAAATAAGGAGTAGGTATAAATCTTCTTCTTTGTGATCGCCGGTTGCATGCTCCGGCGGAAAGCTCAGGCTGTTCGTCCACGTGAGTATTGCGTGCACGTCCTTTTTACATATCTGGCTTATATGAAGTGCGGAATGTTGGCTCCTTGCCTTTCAGGCAGATGCACTCTGACTTCGAATGAGGCCTTAGATAGTCGACTCATACATCATGTTTGTTTGCAAAGACAGTGGGTCTATGCTTCTTTTCCTCCCATCACAGCCACGGAAACGACACGGGGCATTCTTCAGCTTTAGCCTGAGCTTCTGGGTTGAGTGCAAACATCATAGTCAACTAACCCGTTGACGACTGCTGTGGACAGTCATATGTGCTATAAAGGTTAAGGTCACTTGACACGCCAAATGCGCACTGGGCTTATGAGGCTAGACTCATAAAGACCAATCACCTCGATCGATGATGTTTTTACCATCACACCAGCCGCCTTTACTTTCCATGACTTCACCTGGCACTTATTTAAGGCTGGGTGGAACTGAGAAACAAGATGATGTTTGAAAACGTCTAGCTACGATGGGATTTGAACCCATAATCTTCAGATCCGTAGGTGAGAATCTAGCTGCTACAACACGGCGACTAACTTGTGTCCTCATAAATGTGTCTACAATATATCAATCTTCAATAATCGACAGCAATGCGCGAAAGTGCTTATTTCTTGGGGGTGGGGGGGGGGGGGGGGGAGTATGGCACCGCGTGCATTTGCACCCACGAACTTCGGATGAAAGAGATGGAGGAATAGTGTAGCTAAAACCTGCAAAAAGATAAACCAATCCCTCACTCAGGCCACATTTGCAGCTCAAGACAAATACAGAAAACCACGACACTGTGCTTAACTTTGTATCAGTGAGGCGACAACAGAAAAAGAAGAAAAGAAGATGATGATGATGAAGATTTTCGGGACCGCGGGAGAGTGTACAGCCGTTAGACTACCGCGGCCGGCTGCCTATATTTCTCATGCTCCTGTGACAATCAACATCATGTATCAGTTAGACTGTCATGACATGTCAACAGGTTGTCACAGAGTCTACTCTCGTTGTTTTCCAATAAATCTGCTGCTTCGAATTTTCAAGATTTTACATTTCATTTTCCGACCTACCCTTGTGACAAAATAGTTCACGACGTTGCCTCTTTCCGAGGTTTGACCGCGTTCAGCCAGTTGGCCATATTTATGGCCTGGCTATATTGCGGCCCCTGCCAAGAGCTAGAGTGGGGCTTCAAAAAACGAAAAATGTCATCCTAAAGAGGACGGTAAGTAATGTATATTGTTTCCGATGTTTGTGTGGCTGTACCCATATGACGTAGCATTTCCAAAAGAAAAATCTTTGGCTATCTAAGGATTCAAACCAGTCCAAAATGTGTTAATGCAACACAGACCAGAAGGAGTTTAAATTTTATCATGTTTGGTTTTATCCACAAACGCGTGGTGATTTGCTTTGTAATTGATGTGTAAAAATAACAAAAGTAATTAATATCATGTTGACAGTGTTCGTGTAAGTTATGTAGTGCGCTAGAGTGTATCATTTCCTTTTCTAACCATTAGTGAATAACATGTTGTAAATTATATTGCAGTAAACAAATCAAAATGTTTAAGTGTTGCTTTACTTGTGTACCAATGTCGTCATCATAACCCTTCCATCTTGCAACTGATCAGAGAACACAGAGTCCCTATTATGTACTTTTTGCATGTGCATTCCTTATACAGTTGTGTCACTGTCCCGGTGTGCTCTCTTCGTTTGGGTTTTCAGTCCCCATTTTGAACAAGACAAGAACTGA